AACCTTCCTTCCGAGGAGTGGCTGGTGGGTTTGAACCGCCAGCCGTCTGGTTAGCAGGCAAGTGTCTTAGCCACTATGCTACCAGAGCTCCCACTCGGATGTTTAGGCTTCACTTAAGACCTCTTTAGTCCACACACATTGAAGGAATTCATTCAACGAGGCTGCCACAGACGACGTCCTCTAGGTCTCAGGGTGAAACGAAAAGCTGTATCACTGATTTCATGCTACTTTATATTCTAGGGAGATTTATAAGAGACTATAGTGTAGCATATATGTGAAGTTGAGATCTGTACAAATGAGTGTACATATTCTGTAAACCTGGGGTCTTCAATCTCTATTCCCTCAGTAAATACTGATTGCCTTCTAATGCAACCCAGCCAATTGAGATGCTAAGAATATAGTGCTGAAGAAAAGAGATAAAGTATCTTTCAGTTGAATGGGAAAACAGGCTTTTGTAATGAAAATAGGAAACAACCTAAAAATTTAAAAATTAGAAAACTAATTTCAAAAGCTGTGGCACAAAGGCAACCATTAAAATGGTATTTTTGAAGAGGTTTTAATGACCTGAGAAAATGCTTATGCTATAAAGTCAAATGAAAAGAAATGATGTGCATTTATATATATAGGGTGATGTCAGCCAAGTTAAAAATAGATGTGCTTAGGATAAAGATCAAGTACCAGTTCACAATCACTAGACTAATAATATAAAAGTTACACAGGAAGTAGTGCAATAAAAATGCTCATTCACTGCTGGTGGCAGTATGAATTGGAACTACTACTTTAGGAAATTACAAGTGCATATACTAACACCCGAAAATTCTCCTAAGTATATACCCTAGAGAGTAGGTTCTCAAAGATCCTTTCAGGAGGCCCTCCATCAAAACTAATTTCATAATAATGTGTTGTTGTTAGGTGCTGTCAAGTCGGTTTTGACTCATAGTGACCCTGTGTACAACAGAATGAAACACTGCCTGGTCCTGTGCTATCTTCACAGTGGTTGCTCTGTTTGAGCCCGTTGCTGCCACAACTGTGTCCATCTGATTGAGGATCTTCCTCTTTTTTTGCTTATCCTCTCTTTACAAAACATGACTGGTCTCCTGTGAGACGAAGTCGCACCATCCTCACTTCTAAGAAGAGTTCTGGCTCTACTTCTTCCAAGACAGATTTGTTCATTCTTCTGGCTGTCCATGGTATATTTGGTACTCTTTGCTGACACCGTAATTCAAAGGCATCAATTATTCGTCAGTCTTCCTTATTCGTTGTCCAGCTTGTCCTTGCATATGAGGTCATTGAAAATACCATGACTTGGGTCAGGCGTACCAGAGTTCTCAAAGTGGTATCTTTGCTCTTTAATACTTCAAAGAGATTTTTTGCAGCAGATTTGCCCAGTGCAATGCATTTGCTTCCTTGACTGCTGCTTCCATGGGTGTTGATTATGGATCCAAGTAAAATGAAACCCTTGATAACTTCAGTCTTTTCTCCATTTATCATGATGTTGGTTATTGGTCAAGGTGTGAGGATTTTTGTTTTCTTTATGTTGAGGTGTAATCCACACTGAAAGCTGTAGTCTTTGATCTTCATCAGTTAGGGCTAAGTCCTCTTCGGTTTCAGCAAGCAAGGTGTGTCATCTGCATATCACAGGTTGTTAATGAATCTTCCTCCAGTACTGATGCCATGTTCTTCTTCATGTAGTTCTTGAATTATTTGCTCCACACAGATTGAATATGTATGGTGAAGGGATACCACTTTGATGCACACCTTTCCTGTTCTGTTGGAGCAAATGCATAATGAAAACTGATTTCATAATAATACTGTTATTTGCCTTTTTCTCTCTTACTCTATCCTGAGTATTACAGTCAAGATTGATGCAGCAAATGTGAGACTATCACAATCATCTATTAAGCCAGACATTAAAGAAATTTGCAAAAATGGGAAAGTAAAGCCACTCTTCTCACTGATTTTACTTTTGCTCTGAAAACAGTTTTTTTAAAAAATAGGTTAATTCATGTTATCATAGTAAGTTTGTTGATGTCATTTCTTAGTAAAATTTTTCAAGATTCCTCAGTTTTAATTTTTAGCACAGGACACATTAACAGCTGTAATCTCCAAAAAAAAAACTTTTTGGATTCTTCAGTAATTTTTTAAGAGCTTGAAGGAACCTTGAGACCATAAAGTTTGAGAACTGTGGCATTAGAGAAACCCGTAACGTGTATGCACTAGATACTATAATGTTGATAGTAGAATTGTTCTGGAGAGCAAAAAACCTGGGAGCCATCCAAGTGTCTGTCAGCAGGAGAATGAATTGTGGTATATTCATTCAGTAAAGCACTAACCAGCGTCCACATGAACCAACAAATAAAGGAGTGAAACAAGCCAGGTGCAGAGTGATATATCCAATATTATTCCAGTTTTATAAAGTTCAAGAATAGGCAGAACTAAACAATATGTTATTTAGGAATATGTATATAAGTGGTAAAGCTAAAGAGGCAAAGGACTAACTAAGGTACAAGTCACAGTAACGGTAACCTTGGCAAGGAAAGGAGAGGATGCTCTTGGGAGTAGGTTTCTAAAGTACTGAGAGTGATCTGAGGTACTAAGAGTGGGCTTTTTCCCCAATAAGCTGTCCATGTGTACATTTCATGCTCTTTGACATATATGATATATTTTACCATACACAAATAGAGATTAGAAGGAAATAAACCAAAAAGTTAACTTGGGTTATAGTTTGATGGTAGAATTAAGCATAATTTCCATTTTATTCTTTGTATACTTATTTGAACATATTGCCCTTTATAAACAGGGAGAAAATATATTTTAAAATTTAAAAAATTAGGATGACAGTCGTCCTACGTTAAGTGCCCTAACCTCTTCTGAAGTGCAACTTAAATAGGAGATTTTACTGAAACATGGAATTTAATAATTGAATCAGACTTCTGGTAATTATTCTAAATTTTTACTTGATATATAAGGGTAATAAAGACCATATTTTTTCATTGTACATAATGGATGTGGTTGAACTAGTGTTTAGTAGGATACTGTAACTTGGCCAAGATATATATATACTTTAAATTTCCTTTAACCAAATAGAAATAAAAGACATTGAAGTCTTTTGTCTAAACATTGTGCTTTTAGTAATTTTTAAAAATTAAGCAATAATAACTTTTATTGGGTACTTTGTGTTAAATACTGTCCTAGAGTCATTGTGTGGATTAACTCCTCCTAAGTCCTCATAGCATTTTATAAAGACTATTATCTCTATTTTACAGGTGAGGAAATTGGCACAGAGAAATTAAACAGCTTACCCATAAGTTATTTAAAACAAAATGAGTCAAGTCATTCTAGATCTAAATCCCTATGCTTTAGGCACCTAGTAAGGTCAACGTTTGTGCCACTTGATACCTTTAAAAATTTGTTGCATAACCATTCCAGAAAGATTATTTTTGGATATGAGGGCAAATGTTTGTTTATATCCATATGAATCCCATATATTGAAAAAAGTGCTTTATGTATGCACTAAATGTAAATAAGGAAATTATTCCTAAATTCATGAAAAGGTAGGATGGCAGCACAGAACATTTTCTGCATATTTTGTCGACATGTTGATGCTAATAAGTAATCCAAAGATTTTAATCCAGTTATACAACCTAAACTACATTAAAGGAAAATAGCAATTCAAACAGATGACCCCATTGAAAATAAAGACTTTAAAAGGTCTCTTCTACCACTTGAACTTAGACCTTACATTCTTTTAGTGTAGGATATGTTTGTGCCATCACTTTATCCACAGAGGAAATGTAGATGAGACTCTTTGTCATTAGGGAGTTTGGAATCAGGAATTTTGCGTATATGGTATACGCATGCGTATATCCATCATTGGATAACTAAGAGTTTCTCCCCTTTACCATACTTGTTTCCTTCCCATTATGTTGAGAAGAAGGTACTTGCTTAACTAAAACACTAAGATTCTATGTTCTGGCTGAATATTAAGTTTTAACAGCTTTCTATAAGACTGTAAAATAGGAATGATAGTGTTGGAGAATTACTAGAGGTAATAGTGCCCCCTCATTAACTGATAAAGAATTAATAGATTCTAAGACTATCCCTTGATTGTTGCTTGGCAATGGGAAAAGTAGAGAGAGAATAAATGTGAGAGGTTAAATGAGGACTATTTTAGACCCCATCAAAGATCCAGATCAATCAAGGAAATAAAGTCTGCTTTTTTTTGTTAAGCTGTGTGTAGTTGTATAGAAAGGGGTCATTTCTTACTTTATTTTGCTGAAGCAGAGGGAAATAGAAGAAACTAATCATTATCTGCAACAGTTTCCAGAAATCTGGCAGGGATCACTATGGCTTTAACATTTATACTGTATATGTTGTTTTTACTTCCTCCGATTCAGACCTAAGATGCTTTTTAGAACTTACTGTGCCATCCAGAAGGAGCCTTAATGGCACGGTGGTTTAAAGAGCTTGGCTGATAACCAAAAAGTCAGTGGTTTGAACCCAGCAGCCGTTCTGCAGAAGAAAGATGTAGCAGTCTGCTTGGAAATACTATAGGGCAGTTTTACTCTGTCCTATAGGGTTGCTATGAGTCAGAATCAACACGATGGCCATGGGTTTGGTTTTTTTGGTTTGTTGTGGTCTAGAAGTCTTGAAAAACCTTTGTTTTTTATGTTTCTAGGCAGAGGAAGAAGGTTATTTTGAAGCATTCAAAAATGAACTTGAAGCTTTCAAGTCAAGAGTAAGACTTTGTTCTCAGTCACAAAGTTTTCAACCTATGACAGTTCAGAATCATGTTCTCCATTCTGGTGATGGATCTATAGGTTTATTAGAATCCTTTCCACAGGTAAGTTGGAAAAATAAATACTTGTTTTATAAATGTATTAGTTCACATAGTTGTTTTGGACAACTATTCCTTCTTATATGTAATGTATGTTGTGACCATTTTAAATATTCTTGCCCCAGAAGATAACCTCAAGTATCATTTCATGGCATGTTTTAGCACTGAATCTTCTCCATCTGTTAGATGTTTAGAGAAACACCAAATCCATCTCCTTTAGAAGAGAAGAGAAGAGTTGAGTTGTAGCTAAGCATTCTTAAGGGCACATGTTACCTATGGATCATCTCAATCTTAAATCCTGAAGATGGCTTCTGAGGCCTTTTCATTCTGAATAGAACTATATCGTTATTCATTTATTAGGATGAATTAGCTTCAGTGTATACATCCAAGTGGAAAATGAGGTAATTTGTTGCATGAGTTTATTATTATGCCCTTAAATATTGGTGGTGCCTACCAGATATAATACTGTCGATACACATTAATGTAGCTGATGCTAAGCTGCCAAGTGTTTGAGCCTCTTCAAAATCAGCTATTAAATCAAGATAAAACAATGTGACAAGCATCAATGAACATCAGAAAGAAGAAATTAAGTCTCATAAGGTGGTAGAACTTGAGCGTCTCTGTAATTTCACCAGTCCAGTAGAGGCCAGAGAAACAATTTAAGGAAAGCAATTCATCATATTCAATTCAGACTAGAATATTATTCTCAAGGATGGAGATACTCAATAAAGGTCTGGTTTAAAAATAATTAGTAATGCTGCCCCCGGTTATTTCACTGTTATTTTAGTAACATTTTCTCTTCATTTCTTGAGAAATTGTCCAGAGGGAAATAGACTCTCCAAGGAAATTTTATAACTAAGTCATTGCCAAGTCCAATATATAAACCTAAAATTAAGATGTCACATAGTGGATACAAAGGAAAAAAGAGATTTGGAAGGATGCCACTGACACAAGAGTGGAAAAAATGCACATTAAAATATCATAAGAGGGTTACATTACCAAGAAATTGTTTCTGGTTTGAGTTCTTGTCCTATGTAGCAGATGGCAGCTGAGGTCAACTGCTGGGCATCCCTTATAGCCTTTGGAGGGGAGGGGCTAGGATTATACAGTTCTCAGACTGGTGTGAATTGTTAACATCATCAGAGTTGTTCAGACATCATTCTTCTGGGCTAAACAGACCAGTTCCTCGTGGTGGGAGAATTTGAACATCCTGGTCTAGGCCTCTTGGGATAGAAGGGCAAGAGAAATTTTCAGCTAGATGTGCAGGATTATTAACTGGATGAGGGAAATACGGTATGATGAGAGCAACCTGAGAGCCCAAATTGTCAAGTGAGGAAGTTTAGAAGAAAACCTTACCATAATGGCAACATCCCATTTTCTTACCAATTTTTAGGTATGAAATCCTTTCAAATATTGTATCATTCAGTATTCTCAAAAACCCTGCAAAGCATAGCTCCATTTTATAGATGAGTAAACTGAAGCTCATAGAGGTTAAGTAATTTGCCTAAAGTCACACCCTAGGCAATGGAATTAATATTCCAGTCCTGGAATTCTGTTCTACTTTACTGCTCCTTTACCTGCACCAGACTGTTATTGAATTATATACTACGAATAGGATTAAGAGAATCATATGTTGAGTGCCTTTAGGAAGAACTGGTCTCAAAACAAGAAACATGTTAAGAGTGTTACTGGATACAAATATGGAAGAATTGGTGGGAGCTATGTGTAGGTTAGGTTAGATATATTGGCATTTAATTTTTTGTTGTTTTCAAGTCTCTCCAGTGTTTTCAGTGTTCGACAGTTCTGAGAGAGTAAGTGGGTGAGTTCTGGAGAATCTCTTAGCCAACTTGTAATATGCAGAATTCTCATGGAAAACTGAAGCCTGGTCTTTTTTTTTTTAGAGGTCAAACCCTTTTATTGAGTTTTTTGGGGCCCAGGAGGGTGGGGACAATGAGGTCTGACGATCACAGTCAGGCCGAGATCTCCTGGAACTTGCAGTTTGAGGAGCTCTGGTGGCATAGTGGCTAAAGCACTTGACTGCTAACCAGAAGGCTGGCAGTTCAAACCCACCAGCCACTCCTCGGAAGGAAGGTTGGGCATTCCTACTTCCGTAGTGATACTGCCTCGGAAACCCAAGGAGGGGTCGCTATGAGTCTGGGCCGACTCGACGGCACATAACACAACAACAACAATCTTAATAGAGTAATTGTAAGCTCTGTTCTGAAGGGGTTTAGAATTTCCTGGACCAGGCCTTGGTTATAAAAAAGGGCTTACCTTTCTATTTTTCGAAGAGTGGGATAATGTAACAAGGGTATTAATCATTTTTAAAAACCTTAAATTTGGACAACAGTGTAGCTTTTTTTTTTTTAATTGTGGTAAAAATACATATAACAAAAACGTTTATTTTTACATGTACAATTCTATGACATTCATTATGGTTGCCATGTTGTGCAACCATCACCACTATCCACTCCCCAGATTTTTTCATTACCCTTCACAGAGCTGAGTGCCCTTTGAGCAGTAACTCCCCCTTTCCCCAATCCATGGTAACTACTAATAAACTTTGGTCTTCCTGCATTTGTCTGTTCTGGATATATAAGTAGGATTATACAATATTTATCCTTTTTGAGTCTGATCTATTTCACTCACTATAATCTTTTCAAGATTTACCCATGTTGTAACATGTATTGGGATGTCATTATATGTACATACCACATTTTGTTTATTCATCTATTCATTTGTTGATGGACACTTAGGTTGTTTCCACCTTCTGGTTGATGTGAGTAACGCTATAGTGAATATTGGTATACAAGTTTGAGTCCCTGCTTTCAGTTCTTTTGGGTATCTACCTAGGAGTGGAATTGTTGGGTCATGTGGTAATTCTGTGTTTAACTTTTCAAAGAACTGTCAAACTGCTTTCCACAGGGCTGCACCGTTTTGCATTCTTACCAGCAGTGGCTGAGGGTTCCAGAGTTCTCCACATCCTTGTTAGTAACACTTGTTGTTTTCTGTTTTATTTATTTATTTATTTTTGATAGTAGCCATCCTAGTGAGAATCAAGTGGTATCTCATTGTGGTTTTAATTTGTCTTCCCTAATGACTAATGATATTGGCATCTTTTTGAATGCTTGTTGGCAACATTCTTAGCTTTTCTTTTCTTTTTTTAATAGACAGAAATCTTGTGAAATGGACCAAATACTATTATCTTTATCTTTTGAAAGAACTAAATCATGGCCTCTTGGATAGAGGTATAAGTAACAGTTACCTTGTTTATCTTACAGACTAGCCTTTAGCATTGAGTTCCAATATTATTTAACATCCCAGACCTCAAGTTACTTGTGTCACTTCTTTCTTAAAGACCTAACTAGGAATAATCCAAACTCTAGCTAGCTTTTTGACTCTATTAAAAATGAATCACAAAATATTATACTGTCCAGGAGGATCTTTTGAAAACACTGACTCTTTGTGGGACTGTTTTCCTCATTGGTGTCTTTGAAATTAGGTGATATTTAGGACAACTGAATAGATTAAATTGAATCCTTGGGGAAGAATTTCTTAAAGTCCTAGGTCTTAAGGGCTGAGGTCTCTATTCATGGTGCTTTAACAAATAATGGTTTTATTTTTATATTTATCAAACAAGGTTTTTGTTTTTGGCTTTAGAAATCTGCAAATAGAACATTTATGCCTTCTATTTAAAAAATAAACCTAAATTAAACTGTTCTTTTATCCTCGATTGATCTAAGTGTCTAAGATAGTAATCTTCAAAATATATTACTGGCTGTACATATAATCACATGAAATACATAGCCTAGTATGGCTAAATAATGAAAATTAGAGTTTTGTTAAAAGGAGGAAAAAAGTTTTTTATTACATTTCTGTTTTTCACATATATCATTCTAAATGACATTTCTTTGGATTGAGTGGTAATAGCCTATGTTTTCTTTCTTTATTTTCTTGGGGTTCACTCCAAGTCAGACTCCAGAGTCCATCTTCATCGCCACTTTAATTCCCTGCAGTGCAATCGAGAATGTGAAATGGAATGTGTAGTTACATACACTGGGCTGAAACTGGTTTCATGTGGTGTTTCCTTCCCTACATTGTTTTTCAGAATCCAGATTATCTTCAGTATTCTATCAACACAGCTCTCTGCAGTTTAAACTCAGTGGTACATAAAGAAGATGATGAACCCAAGATGATGGACACTGTGTAATTTGGTTAAGACTGCTGAGGCCAAGTACTATTTTGTTACAAGAAAGGAGGAACTTGGCTATTTTTTTGACACTTTTATGGGTGCTGCACTTTATTTCTGTTCGAGTTTTGATGGGAGGGGAAAAAAAAGAGTACTGAAACGTTTTGTAATTTTTTTTAAATGTGCTGCTAGTTTTTGTTTTGTTTTGTTTTTCTTGAAGAGAGGAGTGGTACCATAATTTGCGGGAAGTCAAAACTGGACTTTTTTTTTTGGCTACTAAATTTTCCTTTAATCTTACTATTCCCAGTTTTGGAATCAAAGTATGAAAATCTGCACAAATTCAATGTTTACAAGAACTGGGTGATTTTAGAAGCATCTGCTGCAGTCCCTTTTTATATGGATCTACACGTGTCCTACTCTACAGAAATGATTCAAGACAAAAATGTACTTGTACCTTTGAAGTTAGCTGTCAAATCTGGTGTTTCATCATATTAAAAGCAATAAATCAGTAGTTGATAATCTACTTTACTAAACTTGGTGACACAAATTAAAACAAAGTCTTACCCCTTAAAATAATACTACTACATTTGTATTTTCGGCACCATCAGCTTAATACTTGATGATAATATAAATTTTACATAAGATGCTAAATTTATCCCCCAAAATACTCTTAAAGCTGCATTCTTTGTAGTTGCTTTTACCTTGTTGACTTTTTACTATTAAAGATTATAGTGTTATAAAAAGTGAAGAGCTGGGATTCAAAACCAAATCTGCTAATATAGGGAAAATACCATTTTGTTTTGGGTATATATAAGATTACGTTAAAGCTCTTAATTTCTTTACTTAACATAGGCTGAGATCTCTCAGGGAGCAAATTTTACAGGAATACTAATGGCCTGTAAGAACAAACAGGAAGAAGAATCTGATTTTTAAGAATTATGGGTATTGTTAGTAGCCAACAAGGGTATTGTTTATTTCACTCTGATGTAGCCCAAGGACTTTTTTAAAAAGCAAGGGAAATCTTGGAGCGCTGACTGCCTCCAGCTGCCAGCTACTTACTTCAAATAATTTGATGCCCCTTATTTGCAATGATGGCTTTTATTACATGTGGCTTTCCTCTTTTCCATATAATTCCCTTCAGATATGCCAGGATATTTGATGATTCATTTTATTTGGAATTAAATGGCAGTGCTAACTAACTCTGCTATCCTTAGTATTTGAGGATTAACTTCTGACTCAAGGAATGTGAGCTTTCAATTTGTATTGGGTATGGTCTTTGGCTCAGTGTCCTTTGAAACTAGTAGCAACGTGTGGAAGTTGGTTAACCATGGGGATACATGGCTCAATTTGAGAAACCAAATAATGCTAAGGGACCCATAGGGTGATCAGACCTGTGACCTTGGCCTCATCCGCACCTTGTTTTTAACGAAGTGAGGTGATCAGGCACTACTAGTACTTACAGAAATGGACTGGAATTACTGACTCATACTTCATCTGTAACATCACAATCTTCCTGGTTTTCAGAATAAAAGTCTCTGTGCTTTTGATATAAATATATACTCTATAATAAATAATAAACTATTTGACTAATTTATATGGTACTATTCATCTGCCTGTAATTATTATTGTTAACCAATGACGCAGTTATAGAACTGCCCTAAGTTTTCTCTATATTCTGCTCTGGAGCAAGCCTTGTCAGAGAGAATGGATGAAGGAATAAAATCCCCAGTTTCACACAAATGTTGGTTGAACTATTACCTGCATTCCTTCCATTTCACTTTTTCCTGAGATTTTCCTGCATGTTACCCAAATTGCTGTGAATTCCTTTTGCCTTTAAATTAGAGAAGTGTTAATGACTGAAGACTGGAAGGAGATAAATTATCAATAAGCTGAGTAAACTATTCCTGAAGGTTTTTATTTTTAAAAACAGGAATTATTGAAGGAGCTAGTGTCTTAAAATTTGATTCTGTATATATTTACTTTCAAAGGGAAGTGTTCTGTATTTTGCATATCTGTTTTCTTTAATTTAGTAATACAAACTAACTCCTACCAAGAGAAATGCCCTCTGTTTTCTTTTTTTAAAAGAGTAAGGAAGAATAAGCAAAGGGTTAATTCATATTTCAGGTTAGACAGTTTCCCCTAAACAAATGAAATCTACCACAGAAAGTCCAGACAAGTGAGATGTCTTTGACACCAAAGTGTCCATCATAGATGCTTTCATTTGATGGAATTTATCTTCTAATAAAAGATTTTTTAAAAAATTCTCCATCATGCCATTCATTCCATATTAATTGTCTCATTTTATCAATGGTGATGGAAATCACACTGATTTTAAATCACTCTGGATAGATAAAGATAATGGGTAACATTCTCTTCCAGTTATACCATTAGTGGCAGAAATAATACTGAGTTTTAACTCTTCATGACCCTTAGGACATATATTGCCCACCAGCATTTTCAGCCTGTCAGGTTTCTTGGAAAGTTCTATCCCAGTGTAGTACACGCTGATGCCTGGCAGGACCTGTATAATAACTGCGTGAGTATATTACCTGTATAATAACTTACCCCACCAGAGTCTACTTAAGACATGTGCCCCACATAATTGTATCAAAATCCCTATCGTCTCAAAATAATTTTTCTTCCCTTAATTTCAGCATGCTTTCCATTACTGAGAACACATTGTTTTAACAAAAAATTAAAATAATTCAGTTATGAAAGGGTTAAATCAGTACTCTAGATGTGAACAGATGAGTAACATTCTCTTCCGTTATACCATTAGTGGGCCTTTGAAATTTTGCCTAATGAGCTCACCATCTTCTCTAACTTCAAGCCTTCCGCTTTCAGACTAGCATTCATATTCCTTTAAAAGTGAAGTAACATACTGCCCAAAGGAAACAAATCTGGTTTAGTAAGTGGATTTCCTTAAATGGTGAAAAAAAAATGATTGTGGGCTTAGGCATTGTGATCCTGAAGTTACCTTGGGTGTTTTCAGAGAAGAATAAAAGGATGTCACTTTACTAGTCTCAATTTTAGGCTTTTAAAATAAGTCCTGTGTTTCGGTTCTTAAATTGAGTTGTGACAGAAATGATGCTTGTCTGGCTTGAGGCCAGGCTTTTTGTGTCACCTTTGCCACTCTGTTCATGCGTGTTTTCAGCGAGACCCTTGCATTCTATGCATTCATCTCCCACCTGTAGTAGACATGTATGTACAGTTAGTTTCACAGGCTCTGAGAAGCTGATTTGTCCAGTATACATTTGCTTGCTTACTGTGTAAGCCAACCTGGGGGGATATAAAGATGAATAAAAGTTGATTTTGGATTGCTTATCATCTATCATGAAGTTGAAATCATTATCATAGACCATGAAAAATTAGACTTGAAGTTTGATCTTCTCTAAATAGGCAAATGATGACAACAAAAAAAAAACCTCCCAGAATATATAAACACATCATTCACTTGAAATCTTTTATATTTTATAATCATCCATGCTATTTATTCTTCACACACTTGAGTCCTTTAAAAAATATGGCAGTGCCACTTAATTTACATTTTGGGAAAATCCTAAAGTGCAGTTTGACACGACAGTTTTCATGGAGTGCTCAGGGTGGGAGAACTTGTGATCATCAGTGAGCGACAAGGAGGCGAGGGGTTTGGGTTAGGGTTTGGAGGACAGACATGATAACAACTGACACTGGCTTTTACCAGAAGCTTTAACCACAACTAGACCATTCTTGACTGTTTTACAAGTTTTGAACTAGAATTCCCAAAATCAAATCTTGACTTGTAAAGATGGGAAAGCTACTTCCACAGTTTATCAACATCGGGGTATTTTCTTTTGTTGAGAAGACACCTGTTTTAAAACTCCATTTGTTCTTGCTGTTGGTTGCAAGTACTACAACAATTAATATACTCTGAGGTCTGTAATTACAATTTGTTGCCAGCTTATGTCAGTTTTGTCACACATTTTATTTTGCTGGAATGCCACTGTATATAGCTTCAAAAAAAAAGTAGCCATGGACCAGTGTTTAGAAAGCTGTGCAGTATTTAACCAATTTCCAGTGGAACTGAGGAGAAATGAAATTTCTGCATGGTGCTAACAACTGCCAATTTTTATTTCCCACAGCACATTCTGTTTACAAAAGACAGACCCAAGATAACTCCGGCTTTTCCTCCAGAAGACAGAGTCATGGCATGAGGTACTGTCCTCATTAGCTAGAAATAGAAAGTAAGGCACAATAGCTTCTAGTCAGGGCATTCAGCTCCGCACCTATCTCCATATGGCACGTGTTTCATAATGGCCTGTCAGCATGATGCAGAGTTCGCAAGATGTGGGGCTACTCAGCAGTGTTAGGAGGATGATAGTCAGCAGAAGAACATTTTGTTTAAAAGAGAAAAGTTTTTTCTTTTTTTTTTTTTTCTTATTCCGTTTCCTAGAGTAATGGATGAATGTGCAAAACTTTGGGTTAATTATTCTGTGGGGCGAGGGAATGCTCGCACAGGAAGAAGTCTTCAAAGTTTTTTGTAACTGTGTTCTTCTGCCTCTCTTTAATTTGTAAACTCTGAAAGGGTGTCAGGAAGGCAAGTATGGCTACAAAACATAGCAGGAGATAAAGCCAGTGAGACTTTAGGGCAGCAGAAGAGCAGGTGGGACGCAAAGGGCTCTGTGAGGTACCAAAAACATAATGATGTTCACAGTTCTGAGATTCAGTTTTATTATAATACCGATTAACACGTGCCACATAATCTAGTGGTACTTCCTAAGTGTAGTAGTACAAAGAATTTTTGCAAAGTACATAATACTCTAATAAGGCATTACAGAAAGTTTTGTAAAGAATGACACATTTACTGTAATCCTTTTTAAAAGCCTTGGTCCATTATGAAAGATCAACAATGAATATAAAATCAAAGAAAGAAAAATAAGTTTCCTCCCCTCAGAATACAAGAGACCCACTTGCTAGCATTTGTATATTAAATGTCTGGAGTAAAATGAGACAAATTTTCAAATAGCTTGTGCTGGGACTTGTTTGATTTGATTTAGCACCCAGTAAAGTGTAAGCGTCCTGGTGGGGAAGTGGTTAAGCGCTTACCTCCTAACTGAAAGGTCAGCAGTTGGAACCCACCAGCCGCTCTGCAGGGGGAAAAAGATGAGGCAGACTGCTTCTGGAAAGATTTACAGCCTTGGAAATCCTGTGGGGCAGTTCTTCCCTGTCCTATAGGGTCATTATAAGCCAGACTCGAAGGCAAGAGTTTGTGGTTTGTTTTTAAAGTAGTATTGTATATGGCACTTAAAATACAGTTGCGTTTCTCCTCCACCTTGTATCACCCCACTGCCAGGCCACAGTACATAACCATGTGTCCTTGTTGCCCCACTAAGGAATCTAAAGCAGTGACTTAAAAATGGCCGCTCAGATTACACTTGCGGTAGTAGTTCTTTCAGAACCCTTAATATAGGATGGCAATGAATAGTAGCAAGTATCAACTTCTCTGACAGGAATAAAGAAGCCCTTCATTAGCAAACTAAATTACTTTCCTGATCCCTTTTAACAGCATGTAAAGCCATTTTATTGCTACATCTGTTTACTAATGATGATTGCTACTGATGTCACAGAGTTTTCCCCAGGCATCCTCATCTATTTTCTAATGACAAATAGAGGTTTTCTTCTTTTTTTCCCCCCTTTGTATTTGTTGCATATCAAGGCAAATCATACATATTGATCACAAAGAGAAAGTCAGGCACATCCTGAAGCACACATTTCTTAACCTGAGTAACTTCTGAAAACATAAGACTTCACATTCCACAGAAGAAAATGCATTCCACTTTGGTGCTTATCAAAGAACTTACATTCAATTCTAAATAAATCATATCCCTCAGTATACATGTATATACTTTTCAAAATAAAACTTATAACTGAAGTAATGTTACTCTAAATGCTGTAATACATTTTTATAACAAACAAAATTCTGAGTAAAGAGAAGGTATGTTTAACAACAAAATAAATAAGTATATATGGCCACTTTGTAAGTTTCTTAGTTTAAAGGCAGTAGTGAAAGTTCTGCAACTGATCTGTAAACCCAGTTGTTTTCCCCTGGAATTTGAGAGAGGGAGAGTGTCTCACAAAACCACACCCCACAGAGCTAGAAATGTCTTTTTTGGCATCAGTCTGTACATATGCCTCTGATGAGATACTTGCCCCAAATTAGCATCATATCCTTTTATTTTTACCTTTCCAGAGAAAGATGACAACTTTTATCAACCACTTATTCTTACTGTAAAAAAGTTAGATTACTACTAATTGCTCTTTTAATTTTGATCTAAAAAATTTTTTTGTAAGTTAAGACATCACTAATGTTTTAGAATTAACGGCACATCCACAAAAGATAACTGAATAAGCCACACTAGACAATTTCAGAAGACAAATCTTAAGCTCACACGAATGACACATCCTTAGTATCCAGCATAAAGCCAATAGAAATGAAACTACAATTTTCAGAAAATGCATACACGCTGGTGTCCTCGCACGACGAGGGTCCACTCATCTCACTGATGACGACGTGCAAGTTTCCTCATGGAGTAACTGAGCCTTTCTGGCTGGTCTGTGGAACTTTTGTTTGGAGGAAAGCATACACATAGGGCCAGATCTTGTTGGTTTCTGTTCCAGAGAATGTTTCCAACACCCCTTTTTTCCTAAAGATGGGGGAGGGGGAAGAACAGGTCTGAGTTGTCTTAATGAGCTATTGCAGAGTGATTCTGTACAGGATGATAATATGGTTACCGGGGCTCAGTAAGTATAGGTCTGTCATCTGGGCATCACCTCGACTGGTTTCATGAGTGCCCTTGGGCTTGGAGAAATGGTCACTTAAAAAAGAACTCCACCAATGTATGGGACATGCCTAAATGTTAAACCCTATGCCTAGTGCTTTACGTACAATGCTTAATTTAATTCTTTCAAAGCTCAACTTTCCTAATATAATTGTGTCTTAGAGGCTTAAAGTAACAGCCCTCACTCAGCTGGTAGGTTTCCAAATTGGGGGTCTGTCAGAATCTAGAAGCCCTCTTTGGTCCCCTTTTGTCCACTTACGAATCTGCACAAAGAGCTTTCTATACTTGATTATCATTCTTTGTTTTCACCTAGGTTATTTTTCCCTCTCTTCTTCCCTTCTGAATTTTAGGGGAAACAGGAAGGAACCGTGTTGTTTTTATTTTTTCCTGTTGAGTTCCTCCATGCCCTCCACCCTATAGATTTGCATAGCTTGTCACCAGGCAAGCAGCCAAAGTCTCTTTACTGTAATTCCTGAGGTGAGGGGTGAGGATCAGAACTCAGCTGCCTTCAAACCACACATATTGATTGCCTCCAGAGACCCTGGCCTTCCTCTTGCTTTCCCCAGTCCCCAACATGGTGTGTGCCTGCACGCCTAAAGTCTGCACAGAGTCCCTGTTGTTGTTGTGTGCCTAGGTGGTGCGAACCTGTGTGGGTTTTTTGTTTGTTTTTTTTTTTTGGCAAATTTACGAAGCAGATTTGTTTTACTTTACTCTCAACAGCTCATGCACATTTGATTTCATGGCCTTGATTACAATCTCCAACCATAAAAAAACTCTCTACCCTAGTGGTACAAACTTTTGAGTCCACCCTGAGGTGCTTCCTGGTGATCTGCTTCCAAAAAGTCCTATCCTTGAAAACCCTATGGAAACAGTTCTGCTCTGCACCACATGGGGTCCCCACGAGTTAGAGTCAACTCGAGAGCAATTGGTTAGCCAGCATTTCCGAGTCCCTGGGTGGTGCAAACTGTTTGGGTCCACCCAGAGTGGCCTGGTGATCTACTTCTGAAAAATCAGCCACTGAAAACCCAACGGAGCACCATTCTACTCTGACACACGTGGGGCTGCCAAGAGTCGGAGTTGACTGCACGGCAACAGGTGGTTTGGGTTAAAGGCTGTATAAAACCATGTGGAGAACTCTAGTTTATTACACTCTAAAAACCCCAACGGTCAGACCATTGCAGCCCTTACTAGGTTTTCAGAGGTTTCTCTGTGGACAAAACTATTCCTTTCTCAATACCTCATAAAATTTTCCACAGATTAACAAACATTCCCACTGTTTTCTTAGTAAGAAACCTCAAAGGCAAGAAATTACACAAATACAGTACTCTGTATATTAGAAGCCCTCCTGCTTCAAAATTCACAGGTATCTTGTAAACTCTTCAAGAAAACAAGCTTCGTAACTGCAGTAAGCTTCTCAAAGAGCCACTTTAAAATCACACCAGCCTCTCACGCCGGTTATTGACAGAGGGCACAGTGGCAGGCTCTGCGCAGTCCTCCAGCTCGACCTTCCAGGAACATTTGCCAGTTAATATCCATGTAATAAAATGAACCCAGTAAAAAGGATTGGTCCTCCAGAGAGTAACAGCATCCCCTTCATAAACACAGACCTCACTACCCTGGAAGTATCCCACAGCTGAGAGCAGTTTTGAAAATATAACTGTTAGTGTTTTAAAATAACAATGCAGACCATCACAAAGGGAGCTGTAAATACCCCATTCCATTTCTGGTTAAGTCCAGTCCTGCTTATGTGAGTAGAAGCCAGAGGGAAAAGCCTGAATTTTAATGGCAAGAGGTAGCATAAGCAAGCAGCCTGGAAAGATGAGGATTTCTTCTAAGATAGTGACCCAAGTCATCATTCCCCTCTGCAGCTCTCCCCAGCTTCCCTACCCACACTTGACAGAACGAACCCCTTCCTAGGTGATGTCACAGCTGATGCACTCAGCTGCTAACCTAAAAGCTGGAGGTTGGCGGTTCGAGTCCATCCTGAGGTGCCTTGGGAGAAAGGCTTGGTGATGTGCTTCCAAAAAATCAGCCGTGGAAAACCTCATGGAGCGCAGTTCTCCTCCGACACACGTGGGGGCACCATGAGTCAGAGTCTCAGGGCACCTGATTAACTGGTTTGACTATGCTTTCACTTCCTTCGGTGATTCCCTCTACCCATCGCCCTGCAGTGTTTTCATCTGTCCCGTGTGAATGCCTTCTCCCTTCTGCTGACTTTGGGTAACAACCGCTCCACCACTCTCACCCCCCCAATGCCCAGCTCCAAGGACACACATGATAAGAGCCGATCAGTGCCAACCCCAGGACTTTGGCTGGAGGTACATGGCAGAAGAGGCTCCCTTTCCTGCTGGGGTAACTGAGTTGGTAGGGTGTAAGCTGGAGCAGTTGGGGGACTGCCCAAGTGTGATGGAACCAGCCCAATAAATGAAGCTTAGAGCAACTGAGGCCCTGATGAGGTGTTGGAACACCTGGACCCAGCCATCTACCTCTGGACTCTCAAGTTACATGACCAACAAATTTCCCTTCTGCTGGAGCCAGAGGGAATAAGGTTCCCAAAGAAAATAAGTCCATTGTGTGGCAAATGTTGTTTACCCAGCTCCCTGCAACACCCACATACAGAGGAGTTTCTTAGGAACCTGAAAGCAACTGGATCTGATTAAGTGTGGACAAGGGCCTTGCCCAGCATCTGACAGTCAACTCCAACAGTTAATCACTATGTATTTCAACAGTGCCGGGACTGAGTTCCCTTACCCGTGCTGTAAGGTAGATAGTTGCTAACATGACACGGATATTACAGGTAAGGAATTTGCGGTAGGGAGGTTAAATACCCTGCCCAGGCCACCCAGCTGGGAGTCTGCAGAGCCAGGGCCAATACACAAATACACAAATCACAAAGTGAAAGGAACAGCCACTGCAAAAAGTGAATTGCCAACTCTCTTGCAGTCTCCCCACCCCCAAGAAATACTAATACAACAGTGTGGGGAGTGTTCCTTCATATTTCACTGCACACTAACCCTATTACAACAACAGCTGACAATTACATAGTGCTTACCAGCTGTGGCATGGGTCTTAGAACCCTATATATTACCACCCCATTTTATAGAGGAGAAAATAGGCAGAGGTTAGGGCCAAATTAGTAAGTGGTGGAGTTGGGGTTTGAACTCGGACAGTCTGGCTCCAGAGACTGGGCTCTGACCAGAGTGCATGTGTGATACTGAGTTATTTTTCAGGCAAGAACGGATGAAAGGCAAGGAGAGGCAATCCTCTGTAAGGAGATGTAAGGAGAGGGGAGGGCTGAGTACGGACACTGCATTGTGTTGAGCAGAATTCCCATGTGTGTGGTATGAATTCTCCAAAGAGGAGACAAGACTGTATTAGAGTATAAGCTTCAAAAAACTATTATGGTATCCCCCTGCTTTTTGAAAGTTCTCTTTACGCCACTTCACTTTCCTGAAATACCTACGTTAGCACTGAAAGAAATCCAAAAGGGAGTTTCACTTATAGGAAAAAAGGTGAAAAGCGAAACCAGCGTTCAGTCTTTGTTTTGTTTGTTGTTGTTATGTGCCGTCAAGTTGGACCCGACTCATAGCGACCCCTCCTTGGGTTTCCGAGGCAGTATCACTACAGAAATAGATTGCCCCATCTTCCTTCGGAAGAGTGGCTGGTGGGTTTGAACCACCAGCCTTCTGGTTAGCAGTTGAGTGCCTTAGCCACTACGCTACCAGAGCTCTTTGTTTTGTAGCAAGCCATTAAAGAGGCAGCACACACCCTAAGCAGTGAGAGTGGCCTTGCCGAGCTCCTTCCCTGGGCACTACACTTAGTATCTCAGCACCAAGCCACCACAGCTCTGAACTGTGTCTCTGGACACTATGTTAGTGTTATTTTAGGTGTTAAGTGTTATTTGGTATGATTTCCTAAGTTATATTTTCCATCTGGAAACACTCAAAAATCTTTCCCATATAATTTAATGGTAAGTGCTTCTTCACTTTACACCATTAACGAAAAGTTTCACAGGATAATGCTACTTTCAGATAGTAGGAGAAACCTCTATTGGGTCAAACAAGTGATAGGAGGATAATTTGCCATTTGAGACTCTTCCATGCTATAACATCCCCTATTGGCATATGTACAAACAAAAACCAGTTGTAGTCAAGTAAGTTCTAACTCATGGCCCCTACTGGGCGAGTTAGCTGCCTGCACTGTGCAGGGAAGGGAGTTATCAGGTTTATCTTCCCAGCATTCATTCCGGCCCACCATCCAGTAGACAGCAGAGTTTGGGTGAGACTGGACCACCCCCAGGTGCAGGTGTGGACCAATTAGTGTAATCCCATCACCCCAGTGATTAGTTCGGAGATGGGCAGTAACTCTGGCCTAAAATGGTACCCCTGGGTAGTACAAATAGTTAACATGCTGGGCTGCTAACTGAAAAGCTGGTGGTTTGAGTCCACCCAGAAGCACCTCAGGAGAAAGGCCTGGTGATTACTTCTGAAAAATCAACCACTGAATACACAGTAGAGCACAGTTCTCCTCTGACAAGCACGGGGTCTCCATGAGTCAGAATGGACTCAACAGCAACTGGTCTTTGATTTTAAAACGGCGCAAGGCATTCCCTGTGTGATGCTCAGGCTTCTGCTCGGGGGTGGGGGAAAGGTGCCCCATTCCCTCTGCTTCTTGAAAGAGAAAAGTGCTGGCTGCACCTGGCCAGCCCCTGCCACCATGAGACAGCCTGCCTGAGGACAAAGTCAAGCCACAAAATAAGGCAAAGCTGAGAGAACTTAGCAACTCTTTGAACCACACACAGCTGTGATCAAACCGAAGGCTGACTGAAGTCCTACCCACCTTCTGAGCCTTTCTGTTACAGGAGCTTATAAATTTCCCTTGTGGTTGAGGCCAATTTGAATTGGCTCTTCTGTTATTTTAGCATTTTGCTGTAAAGTATGGATCGTTAAAGCAGACTCGGGCTCCTCGTGTGCCCTGCTTCACCGTACAAGAGCGGTTTTAGAAAGCGAAGCACTCACTGGTAATACTCCAGGACTGGCTGTGTCTGTGCTTCATATGCCTTCAGCCTCTTGATGACCGTCTCTGGTCTGTCATCCTCACGCTGCATGAGAGGCTCCCCAGTCTGGTCATCGATGCCCTAAACGGAAGTTACAAGGTCTGATCCCCCACGTCAAAGCCAGCCTGATATTTCTGAAGGGTATTTCAAAGAGACATGATTTCAAAGTGATTTTTAAACAGACATCTTCTCTGTGCAAGTACCGAGCACAAAAATGTGCTGAGTTTTAAATAACAGAATCAAATCCAAAGACATAATTGTGGCACAGAGCCAGGAGACCCCAAGATCATTTCTACTCTGGCAGTCATGGTCCCCTCAGGGTAAAAGGTTTTGTAAGCAGCCTTCAAATAAGTTCATGTGTATACAAAAAGACTCAGCTATAGACTGGGCACCTCAACGGCAAGCCTTAAGTAAATGTGGGTGTCACCGATCCCAATAGCCATAACTCCTAGTACGTCCCCTGGCACAGAGTAGGGAAACAAAATAAAGGCTTCTGAATGAATGATAAAGCCCTGTTGCTCCCGGAAAGGAGCTCTGGTGGTGCAGTGGTTGAGGCATTTGGTTGTCAGAGATTTAAACCCACCAGCCACTCCATGGAAGGAAGATGAGGCAGTCTGCTTTATCAGATTTATAGCCTTGAAAACCCCATGGGGGTCTCTATGAGTTGGAACTGACCCAATGGCAGTGAGTTTGGTTTTGGTTTGGTTGCTCCTAGATGGAGTACCTGGATAGGACAAAGGGGTAATATGCTCTGCTGCCAAACAAAAGGTTAGAGGTTCAAGCCCAACCAAAGGTGCATACAAGGAAAGGCCTGCCAACCTAATTCCAAAAAGTCAGTCACTTACAACCCTGCGTGGAGTCCTACTCTGATACACACAAGGTCACAATGAGTCAGAATGGATTCAACGACGAAAAGTTAACTGCTAGTTCCTGGGACAGGAGCTCTGGTAGCACAGTGCCTAAGGCACTTGCCTGCTAACCAGAAGGCTGCCGGTTCAAACCCACCAGCCACTCCTCGGAAGGAAGGTTGGGCAATCTACTTCCATAGTGATATTGCCTTGGCCATATCACTACGGGGTCGCTCTGAGTCGGGTCCAACTCGATGGAACATAACAACAACAACAACTGTTCCTGGGACACTCTGCCTACTGAGCTGAGCTGACTAGGTGAGCTGACCACAGCCAGCAACCTGAGAACATACCCTCAGGAGTTCTGGTCAGGCCCAAGATATCCAAGTTCACTAAACCTATGCCTGTAGGAGCTCTGGTGGCATAGTGCCTAAGGCATTTGACTGCTAACCAGAAGCCTAGTGGTTCAATCCCACCAGCCACTCCTTGGAAGGAAGGCTGAGCAATCTACTTCCATAGTGATACCGCCTTGGAAACCCAAGGAGGGGTCACTATGAGTCAGATCCAATTCGATGGCCCTGACTTTGGTTTTTTTTTGGCTTAAACCCATGCTTGTAGGTCTGTGGTTTGTTATGGGGCAGGCCTTGTCGGCTCCACCACAACCACTCACCACAGTCTTGGGAGGGTTGAATTCAATGTTGTAGACACGACCACTGGCTGGATGAATCCAGCGAGCTGTGAGGCGCTGCTTAATGACTTCAAAGGGCACATTCAGGTTAATCACCGTGTCTATGTGATAAACTCTATCCAGGGCTTCAGCCTGTGGAACTGTCCTTGGAAAACCTTTGAAAATAATAATAATAATAACAAAAAGGTGAGGCGGGGAGAGGTAAGAGGGAAGAAAAAGAAAGAATTAGTGTTGGGTAATATCCTGGTGATCTACTTCTGAAATCTGCTCACGAAAACTCTACGGATCAGGACAGTTGACTCTCCCAACCGAGCCGGGGATGATGCAGGACCGGGCAACGCCGCTTTGTTCCGTTTTGTTGGGCCATGAGTCAGGAGCCGACTCAAGGGCAGCTAACAGCCAGAACCACAACAGTGTGCACTAAAGGAAAACACGCCAGATGGTGACCACAGCCACACCAGTCACCTACCATGGGCAACTTGGTGAAGCCATTCCTAGGGCCACCCTCGGTCCCTCCTGCTTTGCTCTGGGACAGGAGGAGCCTAGCCATCTATAACTACAGCCACTGTGATGCTGCTGTGACGCACCCTACATTTCACTCTCATCTGTGTCATTTTGCTCTCTTTCCTCCTCCTCCTGCTGCCCCTTCCTTCCATACCTTCCACACACTGTTCAGAACCAATGCAGCTGTTCCTTCCTCGGAAGAAACTAGACTGAAGTAATATCCGTGTGTACGGAGCCTCTGACAGGGAGGAAGGATTTCGGAGGTGAGAATCCCTCCCACAATGCACCTACTGAAGAACTGGCTGTAATGTGAGGCTGGTGTAGGTGTAGGATGCATCCTTGCTTCTCTCATGGGAGAGGTGACCCGTGTCTGTAGTTCCTCAGGACAGCTTTAAAGTTTCTGCCCTGAGACAGATGAATGCCTGAGAGGCCACAGTTCTGAAAGTACCAACTGACAGCAGGTGCTGCCTGCCTCCAACTGTGTCATTTCCATGTCTCCACCATCTTCCTGGATCCCTAGCCCTCCCTCTACACTGCCCAGCCCCAAGCCTACAGAAGGGCTCATCTTTCCAGGTTTTGTTCTGTCAGTTAAAGGCTCTGTGACCTACCCTTACATTCCTAACCGATGAAATAGGGCCATACTGCACACAGTACTGAGGATGACATGAACACAGTTAATACCTCACACACAGGTGTTCTCTGCAGAGCCACTAACACATTCTTCACAGCCAAACCCAGCACCCTTCCTCAACCCCTCCTACATGAGCTCACTCAGCCACGGTCTGTTGACTCCCTCTCCTTCCGGGGCTCTTCCTTATAGGAAATCACTTTCTCTCGCAGTTCACCTCTCTCCTCAGTCTCCTGGTACCGCTTCTCTTTCAGACAGCTCTTCTTGGGCTTCTCAGCTCATCTCTGATACTGGCGCCAAGAAATCAACCCAAACTGTGCTCTGCCCAACCGCACCTCCATTTGTCCTCTCCTCTATCTGCCTGACCCAGGTGTAGTCCACATGGAACCCCTGTGCAAATTAGAAAATGGTGTGCTTTCCTTGTGCGGTAAACCTAGCAACAGGGCTGCAGAGCTCAGCGAATACAGCAACACCGAGTGCTGGCATGCATGTACATGCATGTTTGTACATGTGCATGTGTGTGAGCAGTGACTACATGTGTGCATGTGAACTATGTGTGTGTGAAAGTGGGGGAATGCAGAAGACTAGGAGAGAAGAATGCATAAATGGCAAGACTAGATTAGCAAACCCTCTTCCCAAAATAATATTATGACTCAGCTCTTCCTGAGGGAAAAACTTATTCCAGCATTAAAAAACAAATCTCTTTTGTGTCCCTTCAGTATCAACACAGCAACAAGGAGAAGCTAAAAACTCCACCAATCTATAAGGATTCCACCACACAGCTGGCTGGGAACATTTACAGCCTTAAGTTACTTTTCTGGCCTCTCCTCTTCCTTCTGTGGTGATCCTCCACATCATGAAACAATGATGCCTCAAAGGAGGGGAAGCAGAAATAAAGTCACATCCAAAGGGAGCTTAGACAGCATATACTGCACCTCCCTCTTTCCATCCTGATAAAGAACCAATAAAGCCTAGAGAAGACCACTTGCCCAAGGCCTTGGGTGGCTAGAGGCAGGATTCAGACCTGCAGACAGCCCCAGCAGAATGAGTCCAGCCCATCAAGGCTCATTACGGCCAGCAGCACTCAGCATCTTGGGCAGCAAGAAAAGGAGCCCTGGTGGCACAACTGCAATGGGTAAGCGCTCAGCTGCTGATCCAAAGGCTGGTGTTTCAAACCCACCCAGCAGCTCCATGAGAGAAAGACCTGGTGCTCTGCTCCCGTAACGATCACAGATGAGGAAACCTCATAGTGATGTTCAATTCTGTCATACAGGGTTGCCATGGGGAAGAATCAACCCGATGGCACCCATCGCAACAGCAAAATGTTCGTGACACCTCCACTTACCGTCCAACAGCCAGTTACACTGGGTGAGATGCTTCAGCTCATGAAGGACCAGCCGAGTCATGACATCATCTGGGATGAGCTTCCCTTGGTCAATGAACGTCTTGGCTAACACACCGATTTCTATAGCAGAGTGGGGGAAAAGTAAATCAGCAGGTGTGTGTATTTCATCCCGTCCCAGGCTCCTAGAAGCTGGTGACCTAAAGGTGAGCTCTGGGTAGCACAGCCATATGAAAATAAGCGTGCTCAACTTTTGTGACAAAAACAGAGGTTACAAAATCACCATGTTCTCAATGGTGTAGAAATACAGAAACATAAACATGTAGACCACAAAAATAACAGAAAGCTATAATCGATATGTTAACAGTAGTCGTCTCTGTGGGGCAAAATTATGGGTCATGCTTACATCCTTGCACTTTTCAGTGTTTTCCAAATTTTCTATCAGATGTTTATAATTTACATTTCTAATTTTCACCTTCCTCTCTCCCCAAATTATATGCAAGGACTTCTAGTCCTGCATGTTCTCTACACTTTGGTAAATATTTATTAGCTTGATTCCCAATAATTTAATATTATTTAATAGAATTCTTATTTAAAAAATAACTTTTTTTTTTAATTAAAACACTATTTGGGAGCTTCTTACCAAAAAAATACAAAAAGCTAGTTTCAAAGTCAATTATTCATAATAAGTGCATTTTCTACAATTAGACACAAATAAAAGTAGGGAAGGAAGGTTAGGAAAAACTAGGGAAAGTCAAAGCCAGTTTTTGGAGACATTAATTTGAGAAATAAGTGCATTATGTAAAAAGCCATTTTTAATTCTGCCTCTTCCCTTTAAAGTCTGGGGGCTCTTACATCACTACTCCAACCACACCTCATATCCAAATAAGCTGGAAATAGCTCATTGTTTGCTCAGCTATGAAGTACAGGAGAGGTCAAGTCAATCTGTAAATTACAGTTCTCTTTTACATACAACTAGTTCCTGCCAAAATTGCTTTTAGCATCTTTAGATAATAAACCAGGAGCTCTGGCAGTGCAGTGGTTAAAACACTTGGATGCTAATTGAAAGGTCAGCAACTCAAACCCACCAGCAGCTCCACAGAAGAAAGATGAGGCAGTCTGCTTCTGTAAAGGTTTACAGCGTTGGAAACTATGGGGCAGCGCTCCTCTGTCCTATAGAGTCGCTTGAGTCGGCATCAACTCTACAGCAATGGGTTTGGTTTTCTGGTTTATGTAATAAACTACATGAAACTATATTTTTAAAATGTCAAAATAAAACTAGGAAATTGATGGTGAGTTAAACAACAGCTTTATACCCGATTATGGGCTTTAAAAAAAAATTTTCATAAGTCAGTTTCATGGTGACCTCTCAGGAGACAGGAGGGGGAGTGAGTGGGAGGGACACACAGGAGACCCCCCAAAACTAACTGGTTCCTGTCTGGTGATACAAAAAGGGGATTCATTTTTACTCGTCTTCTAACCCTACATACACATTATAATACTTTCATGAATGGGCTATGTCACAAGACTTAAACTGAAAATAAAAACCTCCCTCAACCCCCCAGCCAGTCTCCTCTCAGTAAAGCACCTAAAAAGAGCTCCCATCCAGGCCTGCTTCTCTCCTCCCTTTCACTCTTTGAACAGCCTCAGGGTGAAATCTCAACTCCAGAACTGCAGAAAGGTATGTGCGCCTCAGGCGTCACCTTACCTCTCCCCTCACCTGGCCAGCGTGCAACCTACCCTGAAACCACACCCGCAGCAAGGAGTTTCACACACTCTGGTCCTCTCAGTCAGCCTCACACATGCTCCTTTCTCCCCTATTTTGCCTGATAAGCTTTTTTTTTTTTTTGTAATTTGGGTGAAAGGTTGCAGAGCAAAGTCATTTTCCATACAGCAGTTCACATACACTTTGTCTCACGACATTGACTGCAGTTTCCCACAATGTAACAGCTCTCTTCCCACTTCCTCCCCATAGTTACCTCTTCCTGTGTCCTTCCGTTCCATGCACTCCTGCCCCCAGAGCTGTCTCCCTGTGCATACACAACCCTTCTATTCTCCCATGATTGATCTCTCCAAGGAGTATATCTACCTAATGTAAATGTTCAGTTCATATGCCTGTTTTTTGTTTGACTGGAAGCCACAGGAGTGGGTTCAATTCCAGACCTGAAAGACAGCTAGGGGCTACAGTCTCAGGGGTTCCACCAGGCCCTATCAGACCAGGAAACCTGGTTCCTTTTTTTTTTTTTTTATGATTTTGAGTTTTGTACCACATTGTTCTCCCACTCTATCCAGGATCTCATACATAGATCGCCCTCTGAGTGGCTGACAGTGGTAGCTGGGCACCATCTACTTCTGGTCTCATAGTCATATAGGCTGAGATCGCATGGTGTACCAGTCCTTTGGACTAATTGTTTCCATGCATCTTTGGTTTTCTTCATTCTTCTTTGCTCTGGACAAGGGAAGACCCATCGTTGCATCTGGATGGCTGCTTGCAAGCTTTTAAGATTCCAGTAGCTACTCACCAA